TTCATCTTGGTCAGACGGATGCAATGGCTCAGGAACTTGATCTTGGTCGGGCAGATGCAATGGGTAGAGAGTTTGCTCACTTGGACATGACCCTTCAGGAACAAAAAGACATATGCCAAAACTTCTGTTTGGAATCTAACATGGCTGAGGTGTGGAAAAATAAAGAAAAGCTCCACATGCTTCCGCAGAAGAAGCTCGAGGAAGCCTCACTTCCAGCTGAACGGCTCGACGTGCTTCCGCAGGAGAAACCCGAAGAAGCTTGACGTCTAGCTAAGCGGCAGAAGACTGATCATTCGCCCAACAATTGATCGTCAAGCACGCATGATACACCTACCTTCGGAGGATACAACACAGGCAACTCGTGAGGGACTTGGAAAATCATGGATGTGTTTTTTTGGTGGATTGGGTTTATTGTTTGATTGTATGAGAGAATGGTTTCCTTTGAGCGATGGAGTGTTGGTGGTTACGAGCTTTACCACAATGGCTTCTTTTGAGCGATGGAGTTTTGGTGGTTACGAGCTTTACGATAATGATGTTCCGGGTGGATTGGAGCGATGTATTGATGCCGCCACTTCGCTACAGGATGGAAAGAGGGGTCCTTGAGACCGTCTAGAATTTCATTGAAGAACTTTACCATGGTATCTCGTCCATTTCGATTGAAAGTATTCCTCAACTTCTAAAGCATGTAGTCCAGCATACCCCCTTCCCCACCCCCACCTGCCTAACAAGGTTAGCTTTTATCCTCGCTACCCCTGAATCGAACAAAGCATATACGGACGTCTTTCTCCTCAGTCCATTAGATAATTCATGCTTCATACTACATTCGAAGTAGCCAGCAGTCCTCTTAATTCCCGACTTCCAGCCCCCTCAATTCCAAAGGCAGCACATAGAATATCTCTTTACTCCGTATATCGCCAGCATCTTTCGCTACCTTCTCAGCTCTAACATTCTCAAACAGTATCCGCATTGCAGCTTGGTCAAAATTCCCACCCACTCATTGAGCTGGTTCTGGAAGGGTAAGAAGCACGACTGGTGAGTAGCTGTCCACTTTATAGCAAAGCCACGATTCTAGCCCAGACGTCTGATCCAACTTATTTACCAGCAGTATCTTCCTCAACCCGTCAGCCGAAACGATTACCTGCACGTAAATGTTGCTTGTGCTTGAAGTAGTCTGTACATCACCAAGCTTCTGAATTAGTATTTGAGCGAGGACCGCCTGTTCCTGAAAGTCATTGATTTCGGGAGAAAGTATTATGAGTAGCACGTGCGGCCTCTTTATAAGAATTCCACTGATTACTAGTTGTACAATAATATTTATTCTTGACACACATTTTCAGAGCCTGGCTTCCTGTATTTCTAAGACTAGCCATTTGGATTATCCGTCAAATTCCTACTTTTGAAGAATTTTCAACTTGAATTCTATAAGCCCTCCTTACTCTTCAATCTCAGAATCAAGACACGGATATTTCTCGCAGTCCCACCCTTCAACTATCACCTCAAAGCTTCGCATCACCTCTAATAACATCCCTCAACAAAACCAGCCCCTCAACCGCAAACTGAATCATATTCGCCTCCCTATCCCCCCCAAGCCCCGTAGAAAGCTCTCTCTTATACGTCCCGCTCTCCGTAGCAACAGCCAGGGCAACATACCCCCTACCAAACCAGTTCAGATCAGTTCTCTCTTGTTTGTCTAGAAAAGATGCGAAGTGAAGAGAAGACTCACGGGGTCCTGTTCGGGGTATCACCTCCTGTTGGCCCTGCAGTCCCAGACTCGGAAATGCAGTACTTGGCGTTGAGTTTTGGGCGGACGTTGGTGGCTAGTCCGGCTACGATGGCGGTGGTGGGGCCTTTGTAGCTGGTTATTGTTTCTTGGGTCAGCCGGCTGTGGAGAGTTAGTTTCTGGAGCTACGTTTCAAGGGAGAGGGATGCAAGGTTACCGAATGCAATGCGTGACTCTAGTGTGTAGAGCTACATGTTTGTTAGCGATATATGAAAGGCCAAGGGTGTAAAATTGGCAATGAAAAGCGATAAAGGGAAAAGGGGAGGGGATTGTCCATACAGTCAAACCACCCTTGTATATACCGCTTGCACCCGGTGTACTAAGAAGAGACGCAGAGATCAACCCCCCAGCTGCCTACCGTCCCGCCAATCATCAGCAAATTATTTGATTGAAGCTCTTTCAGCTTTCGCAATAGAGCGTAGAAGAAAACACACAGTCTCAGCCACACAAACACTCTCCTTTCTCTCCTTCAACAAGCTTGCAACCTCAGCTGCGATACTCCTTATTTTCTCCGGCGGGAATTCCTTTGCTGCTGACATGGCGAATCCTCGTTTTGCTCCGGACAAGAAACTCTTTTGCGAGAATAGGATATTTGTCTTTGAGAGGAGGATACGCATTAATAGTCAAACAGAGATGGATAGGAGTACCTTTAGTGATTGGAAATCAGGAGGTCGATTTGTTTGTTTGTCATACATGACGTGACGTTTGTAGAGGGTGTGTGGGTAGTACGGAAGCCGGAAAGGTGGGGTCGTTTTAGCGGCGGGAGGTTGCGTTGAGGTAGGTGAGGGGCAGTGTGGTTTGATGGAATTGTTTCAAGAGCTCACCAAACTCTCCAGCTTTTTCAAAGTCAAAGAGCCAGTTGTTTGGCAAGATGCAAGTAGATAGGGAAACCCAGATCACTGGACGAGCAAATGATTGAAGTGATTGATTATATGTTTGTCTATGGCTAATCAAGCAGTAAGATTAGAGTGGACGATTATTAAGTCCTTCAAGATGTGAACATGGAGGCATGCTGCCCCTAAGTCACGACCCCTTTCAATAGATATGCGAAGGCCCTCCTCCTTCCAAGACCAGATGGCTGAAATGGGGTCAAGATCCCGCATATCTTCAGCTTTTGGACGAGGTCATCGGTTTGCAAAGCACCCCATAGAACCACAGGCTTCGCAACTGATCTCGAATCGTATCACGCCAGCCAAGCCACATCGAAGCCTCGACAGGTTGGGTATCATTTGCAGCATGAATCGCTTCGGCGACCCTCGACAGCGACAGGCATTTAACTCATATCCCCGCGACTACCACTACGATGATTACCTCGTCGATAGCGACACCGGCAACCCCGAACTTGGCAGTTCAGGGTTCTACCCGCGACGACGGTACAGTGATGCCAGAAAGCTCACCAACGATATGAATGCAGACCGTGATATGCCACGACCAAGAGGCATGGATGGGATGCGGGAATCGAGAAGAAGCGCGAGACCGGGTGTCCAATTTGCAAAACTGGAAAGAGCTAGACTTTCGTACCGACCATGCGAAAGTTGCATCAAAGACTTGTGCTTGCGCACACGTTGTACGACGATTTCTTGACAGGGTACAATGACGATGTCAGAGCCATACGTGAGTACATGAAGGAAGAAGCTTTGGCTCGCATGTGGTAAGTGTTTCCAATCGCAAGGGTTCCTTTGCGAAATGATTCTAGACCTGACATGCATGGGCCCAAAAAATACAAACTCGCTCGTGATTCCTCCACAGGAAAGTGATGCTAACTTTGCATTGGCTGCGAACAGGACTGCAAAGGTGACAGGAAAGATAAGTACAATGGCAGCACGTGAAGACCACGACAACAGCAACGGAGAGCCTCGACAGTATGGCCAGGAATTTGCGCAAGAGAACAGGAAAGTTGCTCATGATCTGGACCGGGCTTTGAGACCTAACATGAGAGAAGATGCCCAATCTCGCAGAAGCGCCATTCGTTTTGAGTTTGCCAAGCGCTTGCAGCAGAAGATCGAGACGTCTAGTGGGCAAATTTTGGAACTTTTGGATTCAGCCGCGGAGGGGCGCGAATATTGCGAGGCACTTGTGGACGAGTTGGAATATTTGAAAGACCTCATTGACCCAGGAAACGAGAGGAACAGGGAGTTGTACACGGCTAGTAGAGTCGAGGAGTATGAGGATGAAGGCAGCGAAGAGGATGAATAGGGAGAGCTGGAAAGTCGGAATGTGATTGTTTTTATTTTCGGAAAGGCTTGTTCATTGTTAAGACGGGGGAGGATGAAGGACTGAAGATTCGAGATTGAGGTCTTGCGTGTAGGATAGAGGTAGTGCCATTCGAGTTTCTTAGACCGAGGTCGAGTGCGGAAATCCGCCAAAAGAATTTTAGTCAAAGACACAATTAGTAGTATCCTTTCTCGAACAACTTGCTAGGCATAGCTTACCTGAAGAAAAAATGGGTGAAGCGTCGTCCTCAACAGAGTAATCGGAATCGAATTGTACCAATCCCTCGACCACAAGTGACCAAGAGACCGGCACGCTGCGTATTGCACTTAAGTGTCATGCCGTAGCACACACAATCTTCGCAACGGCTCTCCCATAGGAACAAGCACACCCCCTCTTCTCTGCAAGCAGATATATAGAAAGTGACTTGCCCTGCTTTTCTGATGCCAATTGCAGACGTGAGATCACGCCGAACCCTCGCGGGCAGACCAGTCACACTCCCCGGAGGAAGAGGACGAGGTGGATTTGAAGAGTACTCCGAATTTCTCATATGCATAGAGGCGATCTAATGAAAGATCTGATAATTGCAATCCAAGGGATCATAATGCATCTGTTTGTAGCATAGAAACGCAGCGTTGAAGAGGACGACGCTTGGAGGGGAAGGAACAGAGTTTAGGAAATAAAATATAATTTTTTTGAGTGTGTAGAATGCACTTCTAGCTTTATTCGCTGGCCGTAGCTCACGTATCGCAACGCGCACATTACGGTAGCCGAAGCAATGAGCGACAAAGAAAACACCGCTGGACTCAAAAGCAGCATTAGCTTTGGCTGCTTTCAATGTCTCACCCCGCCCGACACATCTAAATCAGTGCCGCTTTTGTTTCCAGCACCGCCATTCTTGGCTCATAGTTTGATGGCAAAACCATGATGCGCAATCGCCTTCTTCCTAAACTTAGAACATAACAACACACAAAATCATCAAAAAGAAAAGGAGAAAGAAGAGAAAACCATGTGCCTGATTTTCACTTGTGGGGAAACAGGTATTTTTCATCTATTAAACTTATCTTTCTAGAACATTATACTGACATTCGATCTTAAGAGTTCAAAAAGCAGTTGGCCGGCTATGACGGGGTTATATGTCAATGCCATAACTGTGTAAGTCCTCTTCATTTTGGGAATCCGGATGAGAGAAATTTATGTCTAATATTATTCAACAGGGCAATTACGCAGCGCGGGTCATAAAACGAAACCCATGGTTTACATTCTGCTTCGTACCAGTCGTACCACTCTCCATACACGGCTACGAAGATATCGTCTGCTCAATCTGCAATTTCGCTGAGCCCCTACAGAACCGCCAGGACGTCGTTGCGCAAATGAATGGAGGTGGGGGAGGAGCAGTGCCTTTACAACACCAGCAGCCACCTGGCGGAGGACCCCCACCGGGTTGGGGAGGAGGAGGAGGGGGCCCTAAACCACAGCAGAGTATGCAGTATGGATGATATTTCCTCGCGTAGCAGGGGCGGGGTACCGTAAGGCTGGTCCGTGGATATCTGGGGATGTACGAAATAATTGGATGACGACGGCGCTCGCTGCGATTCAGGATGGGATGTGATTTGATGATTGGGGCATGGGTGCATACAAGTTTTTTGAACGAGTCTGGCGTATGTAAGGGGAATTGCTGAGGCCTGCAGCGAGATTACTTCCAGGAGTCTGGATCTTAATGGACTCTATTTCTATGACCTAGCATATGCCACTACCTATCTCTTTACTTTGGTTATTTGCTATACTTTTTTCAACGTCGATAGCTTGGCGAGCATGTTCCAGGTTGGATTGATGCATGGTGTCCAGCATCGAGCTATATACGAGGCTTCCACTAGCTGGAAAAAAATGGAGAGGGAAAGAAGAAAGAGGCGGCCGTCATCTGGCTGACGAGATAGTGGCTGGATGTGCTGCAAACTCAGAAGTACTGGGATCCAATGAAGATGTTGACGGAAGACTTTTTCCTTTCGTCCACCCGCCAAACTTTCACCTCATGGAAAGAACAAAAGCCCTTTCACCCTTATCATGGACCTGTAAGATTCGGCTGGCTCCGGGATGGGGGTCTGATACTATGTTTCATCTGCCAGTGCAGGATGCTGGAAGTGACGATGCTGCACGTATGCTGCGACAGGGCCATATTGGCAAATAGAATCTGGTTGTGCCGGATTGTGTTTAGATTTTTCATGCAATCTGGGGCACTCTAACCGCGATTTTAGCGTGGTATAGCTTTCTCCGCCAGAGTGTACAGAAGCATACCCAAGGTTATCTCGATCTTGGGATTGTACGGGATTATGGCTAGATTGTATTCAAATTGTAGTTGCCAAAGGCCCTGAAGATGATTATGTTTATGTATGCCTGTACTTGTATCTTGAGGGGAGAAAAGATGACAAGGCAAGAGCTCATCTGTTATCCCATATCATTGATCTGATTGTGCAAACCACTCGAATTTCATGCCGGAACTTGGCCTCGGGGCGACGGCGGCAGCCGCCTTTGCGATGTCGGGAAATTGAAATTTGAATGGGGATGAAAGATTGAGGCAGCAAACGATCCAATCAGAATACAAAACAAGACTTCTGGGGCTCATATAAGGTTTCTTCGCAGTACTGTGTAGTTCTACAGTACTGTACTGTACCGCTTCTATTCCTTATCGCAGCTTTCAAGCATGGTCGACCTTATCAAACAGCTTCCCCACCAATTAAAGCTTCGGCTGGTCAACGCCTGGCAAGTCCGTCCTTACCTGAATAGGTATGGCGTGTGTGGAGTATGACGTTTATTCCCTGGCTAGATCCGGTCCCGCATGAATGGCCCGCCCTCTCCCGCGCCAGAGTTTATGACCGATAGCAGGGATGAGAGCTTCGATACTTCGATACTTCGATACTTCGATATCCATTACGAGAAGTCATCTCCTCGGACCTGGTGGACCTTATCGCTCCCCCATACGCTGCCCGACATATGATGGGATGTATTACGTCCGATGCCGCATACTTGCATATGTTGACGTGCGTCTCTAGCTAAGTAAGGTAAGATCTATCGATGGGCTGGTAGGAGCTTTCTTTTCTCTTCTTCTCGTTTTCTCTTGCTCAGTTTTCCCCCTGCTTATTCTACTGAAGCTTTGACCACCCGAGGCTGAAGGTATATCAGCCTGCTGTGCTCCCCACATTGTATCACCAGAAGCTTCACATTTCCTCTCGTTTGCTTAATCCAACTATACGATCCAAGATGCCCATCTCTCCACCGCTCAGCGTTGGTTGGGGATATGGCATTGTTCTTGGTCTGGGTGCTGTTTTTGCCTTTGGCATGGTAAGCTGTGCTGCTCTTCTTTTGAAAGCTGTAAATGACTGATTAAGGCATAGATCCTTGTTACCTGGGTCCTTAAAAGATACAACAATGAACTCCAAACTTCCGAGATGTTCAGTACAGCTGGAAGAACAGTAAAGTCTGGGTTGGTGGCATCTGCAGTCGTCTCCTCATGGACTTGGGCAGCTACTCTTCTGCAAAGCTCTGGGATTGCATATAGGTATGGAGTGTCTGGGCCCTTCTGGTACGCCAGTGGAGCTACCGTACAAATTTTGCTTTTCGCAACCATTGCCATTGAGTTGAAGAGAAGAGCTCCAAATGCTCATGTAAGTTCTACACAGCTCGGTTGAAACAAAAGACTAACCACTTTAGACATTCCTCGAGGTCATCAGAGCTAGATATGGCACATACGCACATATCACCTTCACCGTGTTTGGCTTGATGACCAACATTCTCGTCACTGCTATGTTGTTGACAGGAGGCTCTGCAGTCGTGTCATCCTTGACGGGCATGCCAACACCAGCAGCTTGCTTCCTGCTTCCATTGGGTGTTGTGATGTATACCATGTTTGGAGGCATCAAGGCCACATTCTTGACTGATTGGGTCCACACTTTTATCCTCCTGATCATCATCATAATTTTCTCCTTCACTACCTACGCTACAAGCCCACTCCTCGGCTCACCTGGCAAGGTTTTCGATCTCTTGGTCCAGGCTGCAACTGATCACCCAGTTGAGGGCAATGCGGGGGGAGCTATCTGACCATGAAATCCACCCAAGGTGCCATCTTCTTCGTCATCAACATCGTTGGTAATTTTGGAACGTAAGTCACATGGCAATCACATTCCATGATCTCTGCTGACAATTGAAGCGTGTTCCTGGACAATGGTTACTACAACAAAGCTATTGCTGCTTCCCCAGTTCATGCCCTACCTGGTTACATCATGGGTGGGATCTCATGGTTCGCCATCCCCTGGCTGATGGCTACGACCTGCGGTCTCGCTGCTTTGGCTCTCGAAGGAAACCCGGCTTTTCCTACCTATCCCAACCGAATGTTAGAGGCCGACGTCTCAGCTGGTCTTGTTGTTCCTTATGCAGCTGTGGCACTTCTTGGGGGTGGCGGTGCGGTTGCTGTGCTTCTCATTGTATTTATGGCTGTCACATCTGCTAGTTCTGCTGAGCTGATCGCTGTCTCATCCATCTTCACTTATGATATCTACCAGACCTATTTCAACCCGGCCGCTAGTGGTAAAAAGTTGATTTATATGTCACATGCAATGGTTATTAGTTTCGGATTATTTATGGCAGCTTTCTCAACAGGCCGTAAGTGCACTTACTTCTCCTAAATTACCTCCGCTGACTCCTAATAGTCTACTACGCGGGTATCTCTATGGGATATCTCTATGTAATGATGGGCGTCATAATCTCATCCGCTGTCATCCCCGCCACCTTGACCATTATGTGGGCTGGTCACAACGCATGGGCCGCAACACTGACCCCTCCCCTGGGACTTGGCTGCGCCCTAATCGCATGGCTCGTTACGGCCAAGAAGACCTGCGGCTCCCTGACCGTCGAATGTACTGGTAGCAACAACCCCATGCTAGCAGGCAATGTCATGGCTCTCCTATCTCCTCTGATCTTCACACCGCTCTTCACGCTCATCTTCGGAGTCGCGCACTACGACTGGGCATCCATGATGGCTATCCGCAAGGGCGACGACCACGATCTGGCTGCTTCAGCGCACATGGACCTAGAACTTGTGCCGGGAGAGACAAGCCACAGCGCGAATGAAGAAGCGGTCGAACAAAGCAAGCTCTTGCGCGCTTCCAACATTGCGAAGATCACGACTGTCGTGCTTACGTTGGCTCTTCTTATCCTGTGGCCAATGCCCATGTACGGTACCGGCTACATTTTCTCCAAAGGCTTCTTCACGGGCTGGGTTGTCGTTGGAATAATCTGGATCTTCGGAAGCCTTCTGTGCGTGGGCGTTTACCCTGTGTTTGAAGGCCGCAAGGATTTGTGGTTTACGATGAAGGCTATTTATCTCGATATCACGGGCAAGAAGCACCCGAGTTCGTATCACACTTCTGAAGCTACGTATGTTGAGGGCAAGGATGCGAAAGGGGATGGCGGCGTTGATACGCCGCCTAGCAAGGAGGCTACTATTGATGAAGAGAAAATTGCTTCGCAGTAGGTACTGTATTTATGCGTGGGAGCTGATTGAGAAGCGTGCTTGCTATTATGGATATAGTCACGGAAGATACCTCGGGTTTGATTTGATTGTTACATATATATATATTAATAGAAAGGATGTGTTTCTAATCTATATATGATTTTATTTCCTTTTCTCCGAGACCGCGGGCATATTCAAAGAACCTAGCCAAGCGAAGTAATTCTTGTGGGTGTTTTGTTTCGCCTTAGCGAAACGATTTTCTTTACAGTAACGCCTAGTTTTCAAGTTCGCAGCAGTCGTCCTATGCTCTTCAACCTCTTGATCCTTTGTCTCGCACACTAACATGTCACTCGCACTTACTAATTCCGAGCCTCCGGACTCAGGAAAGTGGTACCACTCCTTCCCAACACCGTATAATACAATAGGCTCGAAATAACTCTGAGTCGTCCGTCGTAGTATGATTGTTCGGCTTTGGAGGATGATATCCGTTTGCTTCAATTTCCGTTCTGTTTGAGATAGCAGGAGAAAGCTTTAAAGATTAAGTAAGATGCAGCAGTTGCTTTTAACGGTGTCTGGTCCACTTGCGGTGCATATACCTGGTTTGGAGAAGGGGATGGCGAGGATAGTGAATGTGGATGTGGATACGGTTGGGATAAAATGGGCGGACTGAAGAATTCAGCGGTTTTTTTTTAAAATACGTCTTGGGCAATAGTGGTGTTGACGGGTACTTAGGGACAGGGAACTAAGGCAGTTGGTATTAAGTGAAATTCTCATGATATTGAAATCACAGTAGAGCTAGCTCTTGCCCAAAATCTGTCGGTCTTGCCTTGTGAACAGATCAAAGTACCCGTGACGGAATTTCAATCTATCTCCCTTCATTCTGAAGGTTGAAACAAACTTCTTTTCCCATCCTATTCTGTAAAATATATCAAAGTCTATAAAACAAACGTAAGAAAGCTATTTCGTACATTCATACATTCAAAAACCAATCCCACATCCATGTATAGCAATACAAATCCAGTCCTATCAAAACGATTCCACTAACGTAGATTCTAGAGACGGCAAGCACGTACAAACGGAACTAAGTTTCGAAATAGGATACTCGGTACACGGGGTCGCAAACGTTGGCACTCTCCATTCAAGAAACCCAAGCAGAATAGGTTGCGTCAAATGTGCCCTGACGCGTCACAGCCTGAAAGCAGCGGTCCGCCGTGCATGTCAGAACGGCAATGGGGGGTAGCGACACAGTTAAAGTCCTGGTAATTTAAGGCTCAATGAGAGCGCTGGAATATGTGGTCCCAGGAATAGATGGAAATTGACATTTCGAGTCAAGTGAAAGAATCGCGTATACGAGACTGATCAAAGGAATTTCTCCTCGGAGGAACAAAGCTACATTTTATAGTCAAAGAAGGGGAATGCAAATGTCATGCGTACGCCCTAATACATTCAGCCTCTCGGGTCTGAGTCTCCACCTTGAAGAATGCCCATACGCTTCATTCCAGTGGTAGAACTTTCGAAGTCCACATCATTGGAGGCTCAAGTGGCCAGTCTTGATCTACACAACTCGACCCAAAAGTGACTGGACAATCGTACGAAGGACGGTCGAAATGAGTTGATGAAGGAAGGAGCGGATGACTGATTTCTTATGATTCACCGACCTGATGTCGCGTCGCATGGCCCAATTACGTAATCAGTCGCTTATCTCAGGGGGGGATTTGGAAGGGACGACCAGACCAACTTGAGGCAATTCACACCACGTGCCCGGTGAAGGTGAATCTGCCGCTGTCAGTCAACACAACTTCTATAAAACAGAGATCTCACACCTGAAGCTTCAACTCCTCCACGTCGACAAAGACTTCTGGTATGCAGCACGACAACAGCACCGCAACAGCGCAACAGCTTCCTTCCACTCTTTGTTTGTGATCTCTCGCCTGCAAACAAGAATATTGGCAAACACTCAAGTGCAACGGCCAGTCAGCACTTGTAGGATCTGCTCTTCAACTTCCCCTCCACCTTTTCCCACTCACCAACAAACGAAAGCACACAACGGATTTCGACGTCCCGAGGCCAGCAGCACCGTTCTTTCCTAGCGCGCATCATGGCTACTTCTGAGAACTCATCTTTGGAGACGAGCAACATGGTCCAGCAAGATCCTCCAAATGACACCGTCATGGATGAGCAGGTCGATACAACAATATCAGACCCTCTCGGAACTGGCTCACATGACTCCGAGGACGAGAATACGGCCCAGGCCGAGAAAGACAGCGATGCAGGTAGCAGTTTTGGCGGCGCTGAAACCAGCGATGATAAGAGTGATGGGAGCAGCAATGCGGGTAGCAAGGGTGACCATGAGGGAAAAGGCGACGGAAGCGATGCGGAGAGCAATGCTGGGGACGATGAAGATGAGAGTGATGAAGAGGAAGAATCATTTGAGTCTTACTCACTAAAGGTCGCCCAGCTCTGTCGGGATCTTGGATATGGAGAGCCACTGAAGATCGAAGACATGAAGGCAGGCGGCTTTCATAAGATTGTGGGCCTTTCAGTGGGCGCACCTCTCGGTTCTGACCTCATCCTCCGGATTCCAAAATGGATGGATGATTCTGAGTCCGCTGACTTCCTCGACCAAGTCGCGATTCCTTCTTACTTTTCCAATTACGATTTTTTGCATGGCCCTAAGATCGTCGCGTACGACTCAACCGAAAATAATGCCCTAGGAGCCCTGTATGTTCTCCAAGAGAGATTTGCTGGTGTTCCTGCTGGAGAAGTCTTCTACACTCGTCCTCTTGCGGAAAAGCTTCAGATCACTACCCTTGTGGCCGAGACGTTGACAAAGCTTGAATCAATTAGGCTTGAGAAACCCGGGCGGCTAGGTGCGACTAGTTCTTTGGCTCCCAAGTATATTGGATCACCTCTTGCTGCGGAGCTTAACATTGGTCCTTATCGATTCAGCCCACTTCACGAAATGCCCGTGGTCGAGAAGCAACCTCTACGCGGCTTTTTTATCTCCCTCTTTGAAATACTAAAGCAAAGGGACAACTACTTGGAAGACAAGTGCGATAGATTGATTGAGATTACGAAGGAGATGGAGTCAGCTGGCTTCATACGAACTACGGATACCGAATGTGTTCCTTGGCATTGGGATTTTTCTTCAAATAATATCATGGTTCATCGCCAGGAATCCACAAAGGCTGCCGTTGTCGGGATGCCAGCTTCCAACAAAGGCTGTCAACATAGTGTTAAGGTCAAGTTTGAGGATGGCGACCCGCAGGGTACACGAAATACAATCCATGTCGAGGTCGAGGACAATTCCGGCAGAAACTGCAGTCACAAGATTGAGATTGCTATTGAGCATTCTCCCGGAAAGAAGTACCGACACACAATCAATCTTACCGGTTCCGCAGACACCGATAATCACATTGCCAATACCCCTTTCGACTCCACCTCCCAAGATCAAGGCATCGATAATTCGATGCCCGGACCGTGGTCAGTCAGTGGAGTCATCGATTGGGATGATGTGCTGTCCGTTCCTCTTGTTCTCGCCAGAAAACCACCCTCGTGGCTTTGATATGAGGAGGAGGACCGTAGTTGGTCCCAAAATCGGGATGACCCTCCACCGAGACACCTGACTCAGGATGAGCTGCTCATCAAAGCTCATTTTGACCAAATTATGGAGAAGGCAAGCCCCGGCTACATTGTGGATACGTATCATCGTGGAATCTGGCTCAGAAGACTGGCTCGATTTGCGCTTGAGGGGTTCGGTGATACAGATGCATGGAAGAGATATAAAGTGTTTGTGAAAGAGTGGCCTGAGTACTACAAGGGGTTAGGAGGGGGAGGGGGGATGAGATGGAGTTATGAATCGGATTTCGAGAGAGAAAATCTATATTACAACCCTGGCGCTCTAATAGTTCTAGCCTAAAATTTGGAAAATTACCTTAAATAATTTGGTTCATACTTACTGTATTTATGTATAATTCTCAATGCCTAGAAAGGCCCCCCTTCTGATATGAAAACAAAAAATGACTAAAACTGCAATCGTGTAAAATTATTCATAACTAAGACCACACCCTCTACCAAAAAGTATATCCTTGTCTCTAGAATCAGGTCAGGGTTTTCTAATCCTGTGACCTAGGTGATATATAATGGTTCTAGGCTAGTTGATAAGGTCTGTACTTCCCAAACCTTAAGATTAGATCTAGCTGCTACATCCTCTCCTAAATACTCCTAGAGAAATCGAAAGAGAGCTGGGAAAAAGGTAGGGATAATAGCAAAGGTTTTAGATATGGGAAGCATAGATAATAGCATAGTTATTTCCAAGTAGTGTGTCTTTTTGCGGGTTTAAATATATCATTTTTAACACCTTCTAGCTATAGACGGCGGTCTTAGTCATTTGAAAATTTACAGTTGCAGTTTCAGTCATAAAAATAGTAAACATAGAAATGATATAAAATCAAGATGTTTCTGATGTTCTAGGTGCACTATAGTAGTGTCTAGGCTACTATGTAGGGTGGGTTAGCTTTTTGAGAACCCCCTTAGTATATATACAAAAAGGGTAAAGGATGTTTATTGTATCAGTCCACCTCCTTAAATTTCACATCGCATTTCACTCTAGCGAAAGCGTCACTTTTTCTACAAGTGGTTCCGTAAATGGGGAAAGGCTTAAAACTTATTGATGCGGCTGCACGAGTTGTTGAATAGAGACCAGTGAATCCAATTAAACTCCACCAGGTCCTCCAATACCGCGCTCAAAATTCAACTACCACTAAGAATTCCATGCTAAAACGTAATAACCAAAACCATACTAATTGCAAATCCAGGCCATTGTATCCTAAAGAGACTCCTCGCTGTAGAAACCAAAAATGAAAATGCAATTCCGGAAGAAGACGCCTTCGAATTTCAGCGCCTATCTCCATACTTCTTCCCACAATAGTGACATCCCTCACTTCTTCTTTCCATCAGCCTTAGCGGCCTTAGCTGCCTTGTCCTTTAAAACCTTAGCAGCAATATCTCTGTCTTTCCTCTCTCGGGCTTGATGGGCTTGGCGTTGCTCTTCATTTTCTCGGCGATCCTGGCATTTTCCGCACTCCTCCACCTTGAGGTGCTTGATAACTGTGCCGTCCCTACCATGGCATACCCGACAGTATTGTTGGTGGGCAGTGCAGTACTTTCCTCCGTTAGGCATCGTTCCCTTAGGCTTGCCTTTCGGATCCCTCTTGTAGCCAGCGCAGTGGTGAGTAGTTACCCCCATCATGATGATGGTGATGATATGTGAATGTGTGAGAATCTTTGAGTGATTGTTCTTGTGCTCCAGAAATCCCGAGGATATTCAAAATTGAAGGGGGTATGATGGAGTCAGCGATGCCTTACTGGTTGGCTGAGCTTCTATTGGGATGTATTGGGAAGGACCGATACTGTATTGGCGTGAAGGCTTTGTGGATGATCGATGGAGGAGGAAGTGTTGGGTGTGCTGAGGAAGGAAATTATAGATGGAGACATCTGAAATACTGTAAAACAGCTTACAATAGGCTGCTTGAAGTATGTGAATAACTCGCCACGAACACATTCAATACATATAGCAGACTCTGTGAACAGGTTTGAGCAGGGCAGCAGCATCAGCCAACTAAATTGAGTGAGCACTGTATGTCTGATTGTTGTTAGATGTAACAAGTATCTAGTCATTCCCAACGAAGTGAATATTAATACCCCAAATCCAGCTTCAAGCCCCTACCAGATCTCGAATGCATTACAACCAGTCGATTCTAATTATCTAACAACACCTACAATAGAAACAAAATTATAAATAGCTCCTGTAAGCTAAATAGTTGCAAAAAATTAGATGCTCAAGCGCTGTCCGCGGAGTATCTGCTTAAGCGAGAGAGAAAGGGGGAGCTAGCATGGGGGTGAGTGGTGTGCGGACTTAAACGTCAGGAATGAAAGGCAACACACTTTTTAATAGCATGCAGCTCATAGTCTATACTACAGTATAATGGCCATGTCTCTACTGATTTCCTCCTACGCACTAAACGGCTTTTATATCTTTATCGAAATCATTTCCTAATCGGGTTGCACTGGTGTATTCCCTACCTAGGCACTTCGAGAACCCCTCACCTGAGTTCAAAAATAAACCCGCGATCTTTAATTTAGAACCTAGCTTAAGATTTAATCAGCGCTGTCTCGTGGTTTTCCGTGGGCGAGTTCCTCGGTGTCTCGACGCTTGGAGACGGGTAGCCTTTCAATCGAAGAATACTTTGCCGCACCTTCCTCCAGGGCTTTTAATGACTCAAAGTCCTTAGGGTATGATTTGGAAAACAACTCACTACTTACCTAGCTATGTTGTGTCTTCCTCTCACGGGCTCTCAGACAGGGCGCTACATTCGATCGCGCTTGCCTTCAAGCATCTGATTTGATCGTAAAGTTTCGTTGCTTCAAGGTCTGATGTCCCTGTCTTGAATTTTAACATTGTCTCAAAGGATCAACCAACAATACATCCGAGCTTGCTTCTATTGGTGTTGGCCCAGTAAATACACACGTGGAAGTATCTGAAGTCTTTGTTCAAAGTTCCCTTTATTGAAACAACCCAAGAGATACAACACCCACAGAACAATAAATTTTCGTGATGTTAGGCATCTAAAGCTACATTCCAGAATGCCGAATTACACTTTGGCCTCCCTCATTGATGGGCTTGTTTCGGATTGGTTGCGGGTCGTTTCGACAAAGCAGGCAGGCGCTATGAAATGAAATCAAAATGTCCATCCTTTCCCGTCATAATCAATCACACTTTGGAGTTCTTCAATACAACACCCCTTCCTAATTGCCGTGTACCAAGAGTCCAACATCCACAGCCCAACAAAAATATTATCAACACACGACAAAATGTGTGAGTGGCAGGAAATCGTCTGCAAAGACTGCCACATGACATCCACAATAATCAAGATCTGCGAACCCTTGACCCAGGAGAGTTCCAAATCACACAACCACAGTGAATGCCCCCGCTTGGTAATGACCACAAAACAGATCGACAGCTTCGACATGACCCATCAGTGTCCCGGACTGTAAGTTCATCTCTGGAAGAAAGATTGTAACTTACATTAAGTAGCGGATAATTAATGCTGCATAATAGAGCTACAAGAATTGCTACTCTAGGCTGGCCATTCAATAGCACCGATGGGAAATAAAATTGAGTATATGAGGATGCTACATGGCGTAGGCTCGGTATCTAGGTGTGCTCGAGACCAAAGGAGAAGGACATCTGCTTGAAAACCGAAAGAGAATATGGATCCTCTTTCCTACCGATGTGCGCGATTTGTCATTATTCTTGAAAGCATGCGTGCAGTTCAACATCGAAAAAGACACCGGCTATGCGATATGCCCCAAGACTACTGGTTTAATTATTAAGATGTGCGATCGGCAGAGGCGTGCGAAACCAATGAGCTTCCGAAAGTGTGGTTGTTGGGTACGAAAAGAGCCACATTACTCGACAGCTGGAATTACATAGTAAGTGCTAAAAATGGCCATTCGGCTCTCGAAGCCGCTCAAATGCTGACCATGATTGCTTAGGGAGTGCAAAGGTTGCTCGGTTTCACCGTGTAATGGATGGGGACCCTTATCTTTCTTGTCCTGCCGCTCGGTTGGAGACGGTTGCCTTGATACTTGCCATGCATAGTGTACTTGACATCAACAGAAAAGTGCCAGGTTTCTCACTTATTTGATGGATCAACTTCTGGGATATATTTGGGGCTTGTATCCGACGTCCGGCTCGCATAGCACGCCGAACTAGGAGTTTTATGTTACCTTAACGTCTCTACTTCGAAGATGGGGATGGAAATTTAGGTACTAGAATTATAGGTTGCTGTTCAATGCTGGGGTTGGTGAAGTTGTAGAACCATACAATATACAAGTCATAACCACTCGATAATTTGCTCCGCAAGGATTATGAATGAACACAAGCCCTCAAGTTGGCCTCATCTCTAGTCACTAACAATTCTGCTTCATAAAATCTCACACATAATAAGACAATCTCCATCAAATCATACCTGACTCCCAACATGGAAAGCTCAAATGTAAGGAAAACGGTTACATACCCAGCCAGGCAAGATTGTTAGGGCTCTGTGAAATTGCGGAGTCTTCTTTTCTGCTTCAAATTGAAGAACAAATCACATGATGTCGTCCGTGAGCCCGGGAGCTAGAACCCGATGAAGAACCCAAGTACATCCGAATTGAGATTAGGAGTTGTCTGGATAACTGCAAGTAGTCATCGAAATAACCAGGGAATAGTTGTGTGCTGTCTTGCAAGAGAACAAAGTCATAATGATCAAATTGTTTGCTCTTGGTCGACTCAGATTGTATCTAAAACAAACACGCCCTTCTGACTAGTCGAGCATGTAGAGCCAAACTTCACTACCCATTTGTCTGCCAAAATGAATGAGAGCGATTCCCTGGTCAGAGGACCCTTGTGAATAACATTTTATGCTATGAATCGGGGCTGGTCACCTGGCTTGCTTGCTTGAAGCACAAACCCAGGTTGCAACTTGCACTGCAAGTTGGAATACCTTTTCGACAAAAAGGAATCAAGCAATTTCGGATGTCTGAGACATATTCAAAACCTGCAATTGACACCTTGAAGAGCCATCATTCGCCACGAGTTAACCAAGATCTCACTCGACTTGCAAACCGTGCATGACGTGCTCGCCAGAATCTTTCAACAGACCCGTCGAACGTCCCATCAAACGCCCCAGAGTCTCTAAGTGATCTATAAGGACTCAGCGCATCCTTCTTAGAAGACCACGATCGAGTTACACCTCAAGAAGTGGTCAAAATGTGCGCAGAGCAGGAGAACATATGTACCGTATGCAGGCAAAAACTCAGAGTGTTCGTCAAATGCCCGGAACATAAGCGTGCAGAGATACAGGCTGCTATAAAAATGGACGTTAAAGGATGCGAAGGTCATCGGCTTCTGGGTATTAGAACTGGGCCCAATGTCTTGTAAGTGCCCGGAACACCAAACAATGTCTTGAGTGTATCGTTCTAACATATATCGTGTAGCGAGTGCAGATGCATCAAAAATAGGATTTCAGTACTTGGTGAAGTAGATGTTCTGGTCTAGGTTAGAAAAGGGCTGGAAAGAAACGAGTGGCTGGATGGCATCGTAAAGCAAGAGAAGATCCATTTCACATTCAAGCCTCAATATCAAAACGATGTGGAAAATATCTACAAGGTCTAAGGAATCCAAAAGAGTATCAGGAAGGACATCAAGGATCCCCTTTCGGATTCTTGTAGGCCACAGGCCACAGGCCACAGGCCATAGAAGGAGAGCGAGGGATGAGAGTATTATCTTTACTGAATGACAGACCAAGAACGCTTGAAGCAATAGCATAAGCTAATCATATAGTGGACCTACTTTCTTTTCACTTAAACTACCGCATCTATTGGGATCGATGTAAGATGGCACAGTTGGCCATGTTAAATAATGATTATCATGCACCAGGATGATTTAGAAGCACTTTCCGTTTCGGATTTATTGATCGAATCAGGCCACACAGGTGATAACAAAGAATTTATCATAAAGGCCCTTTGTAGTTCGATAATCAGCCACTTGACGGAGGGTAGTAACATCTCCATACCTAGTCAAGTGAGGTCGGCCAGTGAGCCGAGGCGCCGAAATACAATTAGCCTACCCCTACCTAGCCTAGAACAAGGACAAGCTCTACAGACGCACCCTAACATCACTGAATGCAGGCATGAGCAGGCTGAGCTGAGGTCAGCATGCCATGCCATCCATGCCATCCATGCCATGCAACCCCCATGCGACCGACCCTGGCCCCGTCATTCGACCGTCTTAAAGCCAGATAAAGCATTATTAAGGTTATCCCATAACCATCCGCCAGTTTTGGGACATTATTTGGTTCTCCTTCTTGGCCGTGGTATCATTCTTCCTCGAGCTCACATGCCTTCCACTACAAAATACACTCGCCGGTAATGCCATTGCGGTGGCGCGGGGGCTGGCTGGGCGTAAATACTCGTTCCACTGCCTTTCGCCGGCCAGGATGGATGCTGCTTGGTCTATGGGCAATATGGCTGGTGACGGCGAATGCCATGATGCCTGCCAGAATCGCGGAATTACGACAGGAAACGGTCTCTATGTTCTATCACGGCTATGACAATTATATGAACATCGCCTTCCCGGAAGACGAGGTGAGTGCTCCGTAAAACAATGTAACAATGCGGTACATCACTAACTAGGTATTATCGAATCTAGCTACGCCCTATATCCTGCATACCTTTAACTCGAGACTCTCAAAACCCCCGCCATGTTGAGCTGAACGATGTCCTTGGGAACTACTCACTCACCTTGATCGACAGCCTCTCCACACTAGCAATATTGGCATCCGCCCCTCCGGATGAAATGAATACAGGAGCTAAAGCACTTCACGACTTTCAAAAGGGTGTGGCCTCACTGGTTCTACAATACGGGGATGGTTCAAGCGGATCTGCCGGAAGGGGGTTACGAGCCCGCGGTTTTGACCTTGACAGCAAAGTACAGGTCTTCGAGACGGTCATCAGAGGCGTCGGTGGACTGCTCAGTGCCCACTTGTTTGCATCTGGAGAGCTTCCAATAAATGGATATAAACCTCGGCATGTTCGGTCTTGGAAAGGGAAACCCAAAATTGGAGAAACTCCCCCCATTGCATGGCCAAATGGGTTCAGATACGATGGCCAGCTCTTGCGACTTGCTCTTGATCTTGCACAGCGTCTTATCCCTGCTTTTTACACGCCTACAGGCATGCCATACCCAAGGGTCAATTTGCGATACGGAATTCCATTTTATTTAAATTCTCCTCTCAATAAAGGCTCTAGTCCAGCCGAGAATGCTCAAGATGACTCGCCCGAGATTACCGAAACCTGTAGTGCTGGAGCTGGAAGCTTGGTTCTGGAATTCACTGTGTTGAGTCGACTCACCGGAGATCCTAGATTCGAGCAATTGGCAAAACGTGCGTTTTGGGCTGTGTGGAATAGTAGAAGTCGAATAGGTCTTCTTGGGGCTGGTATTGATGCCGAAAACGGTCAATGGATTGGGCCTTATTCTGGAATTGGGGCTGGTATTGACAGCTTTTTTGAATATGCATTAAAGACGCACATACTCCTTTCCGGGCACGGGATGCCCAACACCACAATTCCATTCAAAACACCAACCTCGTGGCTTGATCCAAATACTCTTTACAGGCCATTGACTGATGAAGAGAACTCCCCAGAAGCTTTCCTGGGAGCCTGGCACGAAGCCCATGCAGCAATAAGACGGCATCTCTACAGTGGTACTCATCATCCTCATTACGTCAATGTTCACTTGAGCACGGGCTCACCGCAGGCATATTGGGTTGACAGTCTGGGGGCATACTATCCTGGATTGTTGGCATTAGCAGGTGAGGTAGAGGAAGCCATCGAGACGAATCTACTATACACGGCATTGTGGACCCGCTATTCCGCACTACCGGAGCGCTTTTCTGTTCAGCACAGCCAAGTAGAAGGGGGTCTAGGTTGGTGGCCTGGTCGCCCCGAGTTTATCGAATCCAATTATCATCTATACAGGGCAACCGGAGATCCATGGTATCTTCATGTGGGTGAGATGGTTTTAGAGGATATCAAACGACGCTGCTGGACTAAGTGTGGTTGGTCTGGTCTTCAAGACGTCCGCACTGGTGAAAAGAGTGATCGAATGGAAAGCTTCTTCTTAGGAGAAACCGCCAAGTACCTCTACCTTCTCTTCGACCCGGAGCATCCATTTAACTCTCTTGATGCGGCATATGTATTCACGACTGAAGGCCATCCGCTAGTCATTCCCAAAGAAAAAACACCTCTTATCATCAGACGCGAGGCGGCTAGAACTAAAGAAGTTCAACCTCATTCTGGCATCGAAGTAAGAGACACATGTCCTGTGGCGCCGCCTGCGATACCGTTCTCCATTTCATCAACGGCTGCAAGACCTGATGTCTTTCACGCATCCAGTCTGATTGGTCTGGATAATGTACCAAATTTACATGCAAAGGACACAGTGGACGTAGGGACTACGAAGAATGGCAAGCTGAAGAAAGGAGTTTCGGAAGCAAAGGTTGTAAGAAACCATACTTATTACCCCTGGACCCTTCCAGAATCTCTGATGCCCTCCAACGGAACATGCAATATGCTTCCCCTGAGAACGACGTTTACCATCGAATTTCCATCCAACGCACCCTTGCCTACGCCCTCGGGGCCAGCCAATTTCATCATGTTCGGTCCTCAAGGTCTTGTTCGATGGCAGGGAGGCATTCTCGTAGAAAGTCTCTCTGGACTGAAGATGAGCATGGTTTATGAATCTCCCTCTCCATTCAAAAGCATGTCGGGGCAACTGATGGAGTCCTGGCGAATTTGGAACATTGGCAACTGGCCTCTAGGCCGGGACGAGCAAATCTTCATCTCCCGCGACGTGATAGGAGCATGGAACGACCCACACTTCACTCGCATCCGAGACTCAATGATGCTCGATATTGTCGTGCAGCTCGAGAACTCAACGGCCACAAATGAAAGTTTAGACAGCTTTGAGGACTTCTACACCGAAGAAGATGAATTCAATGAAGGCCCAGAATTACTTTTCGACGACGATGACGAACCTATTAGTAATGCCGGAATTGCTGCCGAATATAAAACTATGCTCTCATCCCTTTTCCATCATGTAACCTCCGCACTCCGGGATCCCGTGGCTACTATCCTTCCCCAGCCAGCGATTCCACAGACTTATCAGTCCCTCCAATTCCCCGCTATCACGCCAACGGGGTTGGGTGCTGCACCCATTGGCGACGTACCTGAAGCACCAAACCCAGACGTCCCGAGTGCGGAGCCGTTGATCTGGCAGAGCATCTATTTCGCCGGCGATGCCTGTGGTGGCAAACTGCCGGACGAGGCTGCGAGAAACCACCAAGTGATAGTCATACTTCGCGGCGGTTGCACATTCCAAGATAAATTGACCAATATTCCCACCTTCTCGCCTTCTTCCCGGAGTCTCAAGCTTGTTATAATCATTGACAACGAAGCTGGCGATGATGAAGACGTGTTGGGTAATAGTCTGTTCCGGCCGCTACTGGACAAAGCACAGGTGACGCCGAGTGGATTGCTTAGAATGCATCCTATTCCGATGGTGTTCATGGCAGGTGGGGAGGGGACTGTGAATTTGTTGAAGAGGAGTAGGAGTATAGGGCTCAGGAGACGCTATCACATTGAGAGTCAGGGAAAAGTGGTGGGGAATATACATATCCTATGAATAGGAGGGTATTGCATAGTGCATGGAACACGGCGCGCGGCGTTTGGAAACGATTTCGGTGTAGATACCACAATTACGACATATATATGAAATAAAGGAGTACTCGCTGCCTCTGCTGAACACACACACTTTATCAGGCTCAGTGTCAGATATGACATGCATGGACATGCCATACCCAGTGAAATCCCCGCTGACTACCCTTTGAGGGCCGGCCGGACATGAAAGTCGCCGTGCGCCGAAGGTCTTTTCAGTCTCTTTCCACTGTCCTCTCATACGGAGTACATAATGCCTTCCAAGTAATGCTTGCAAACTCCACCTTAGTATCTCACGGACCGTGAATAGAAGAACCAATACAACTAATATCGAGATGTACCCCGACGTGTTATGGCTGATAGATAATTTTACAGTAGGTCTATTAGACATTCGCGCCATGTTAGTATTTTAGGACTTTACGTCAATTTGATCTGCACTACATAAAGTAAATGTGAACATCTCATACACATTACTGGACGAGATCCACCAAACACCTACCCTTAATTTAAGCCTTACCTTAAGCCTTACTGGAGTTTATCATCCTTACTGTACAGTATACGAGTACGTACTCGTAGATTAAATTTAGTAAGGATCTCAGAGGGCTCAGCCGGTGGGGGAATAAGCCCATCATCCCCCCGAGCCGCGGACGTTATTTCGCGGCCGAACTCTTCGCCGCATGAACTAAAGTATTTGGTACTAGATCCAGATCCAGATCTCTCTATTCGGTTCTCTTTCGTGAACAATGTCCCTGTCACCTCTTCCGGTTTGCAGACCTCCTGATGAACCATCCGTAGTACGATAAATCGACGTGGCCATAGTGTAATACCAAAGGAAGGTCGATAATCAAATAGGAAGCATGTTCCCGCAACAACCACAACCACAGCCACAGTCACAGGCGGCAGCTACCCCACCAACAACTGCACCAATATCAATGTCAACAGCCACGAAAATCGACCCAAATCAACAGCAAAGCCAAGGTCCAGAGGCCAGGAAAGCCTCGCATTCTGGCCCTCACGCCCTCACTGCGCGATCATGCATTACCTGTAGACGGAGGAAGGTCAAATGCGACAAGCAAATCCCATGCTCGAATTGCACCAAAGCGGCAACGCAATGTGTCTTTCCGGCGCCTGGTCGTGCGCCTCGAAGGCCCAGAGCTGGCGGGAAAGTCGTGAGCGACAGGGAGGCAGAGCTGTTGAAGAGGCTAAGGAGACTGGAAGGAGTGGTGGAAGAGCTCAGTGGGCAGGTGGAAGTGGAGGCAGTAAAGCAATCACCCGCGAGCGATCATTCCTTCCAGCATAAAGATATCGAGCCGGCAATAGACTCGGGGTCGAGATCGGCCCATGTCAGAGTCGTGGGAATGGACGAGGGTACTGGCACAAAGAAAGAATGGATTAATAGAGCTTGGAGAATAGGAGGCGGTCCTCCTAAAACTGCCTTTATTTCTGGGCCGGAGAATACAGATGTCGGTATGGGCAGATTGGTTGTCGACGAGGGCAAGAGTCGATACGTATCACATCCTTTTTGGAGCCAAATTACGGACGAAGTCGAAGAAATTCGGGAGATGCTCGCCGATCAGGATTGGGATTCAGATTCAGATACACCGGTTTTGCCATCCGCTGCGGTGACGGAATCAAATCACCAAGGCTTCATCATGGGCTACAATAGTAGCGATGTCGATATTAAAAGCCTGCACCCATTGCCGTCTCAGATACCCTTTTACTGGCAAACATTTCTCGAAAATGTACATCCTCTGGTCAAGCTCCTACACGCGCCGACGATGACAAAAACGATCAAGGATGTCCAGAATAACCTGGACAGCTTGGGTAAAAGTACTGAAGCGTTGATGTTTGCTATATACTTTGCTACTATAACTTCTATGAACGGAACCGAGGTGAGACAAATGGGATATAACCTTCTAGGTTGTTGACTAATATGTTTCAGGTCAAAACAAACTTCGGTGTTTCGAAAGCGCTTCTACTCAATCAGTATCGGTTCGGAACAGAGCAAGCGCTCGCAAAGGCCGGACTACTTAATACCAACGAGATTGTCACAGTGCAAGCTTTCGTATTATTCCTAGTCTGTGTTCGACGGCATGATGACACTCGCTTTGTATGGTCAATGACCGGACTAGCAATCCGAATATCCCAGGCTCTTGGTCTTCATCGGGATGGATCGAAATTTGGCCTACCCCCCTTTGACACGGAGATGAGAAGACGATTGTGGTGGCAAGTTTGTATTCTCGATATTCGTGCCTCGGAAGACCATGGATCGGACCCGTCTATACTCGATTATTCGTTTGATACCGAACTCCCTATATCATGCAACGACGAGGACTTAGACCCAAATGATACAGAGCCGCCTATTCGTCGTCATGGTGTTTCCGAGATGACATTTTGCCTGATACGATATGAGATCTGCTTTCTAACGAGGCAACTATCATATGTCGCACCGGGGAACGCGCCCTATAAAGCTGAAACCTTGACAATTGAGGACAAAGAGAAGCTCGTCAGGGACACCGCCAACCATTTGGAAGAAACCTATCTTCAATACTGCGAAGACGCTGGCCCTTTGTACTGGGTTGCAGCTACCGTGGCCCGCTTGATTACTGCAAAGTTTTCTCTTATTATCTATTCGCCTCTAACATCGCCTGGAAAACCGAATACTCTCTCTCAAGATACGCGCGACCGACTCTTCATGGCAAGTATCGAGATCATCGAATACTCCCGGGTTCTTCAAGACGAATCAAGCACCAAACAATGGGGCTGGTTATTTTCTACCTATGTTCAGTGGCAGTTGGTTACCCTTTCCTTTGTCTCGCTTCCTATGTTCTACGATGTTAGGCTCTTGAAAGAGTTTTTCATCCTGTTGGCTCTTAATCTTCGTACTAATTCCTTGGTAGTGCCATAGCGTATATTCTCGGGGAGCTGTGCACGCGACCGAATTCGACCATCGTTGAACGAGCGTGGCGAACTATCGATACTGTGTTCAAGGATTGGGATTCAGCAAATGCACACGGCAAGAGCGGCATGCTCTGGAAGCCATTGAAAAAGCTCATGACTAGAGCGCAAGCGCATAAAGCACGCCAGGACCGTGCTGCAAATAACACTGGAAATAATATCGGCATGGACGAATCCCTAATCACGCCTTCGCCTTCAGGTTATCCTAGTACGATGCCTCCGCGCGATCGTCTGATGCCGCATTTAACAGACACTACAAAGGATCCCGCTGGAGAGCTAGGCTTTAGTGCCGGTTTTCCCTTCCAGCTTCAAGCAGATGCCGCTATGGCAGAAAGTGTGGGGATTGGTATGCTGGCTCATGGACAGATGCAGCAGCAGTTCCAGCAGCAGGCAACACATGAACAGACGTGGCTGACGGACGATGGTGCATTGGCTGATTTGGATATGGCGGAAGGCGATGTAAATTGGGAAGCTGGGACGATTTGGTTAAAGAATTTTCAACGGAGACCCAGCCTCTGGATCAAAGGGGTCCGGCTTTAGGGTCTATGGGGACGTGGTGGTAACGTTTTCGAAAAGAACGTGCATGCGCTTGCTCTGGAGTTATGGGAATAGAAACAAAGTGTGGGATGAAATGGTTATTTACACGGGGCGTACTGAAATATGGGCATTGGAAGATGTATTATGAAAGGTGTAATGTTTTTGGCGTTTATTGCAAACTATATATATCCCGCTCTACCAGTTAAATTCAAAATCTCAAATCTCAAATCAATAAAGTTGATACATGTAAGAATTGGTTCGAGGCTGTTTATAATGTGCCAATACAAATATAGCAGCGCTCTCCTGCAAACTTATCCCGAAGTAATCGTTAGGGAGAAAATGCAACTTTCGGAAACTCAAAATTGGCGCCTCTTGCAATATAATAATATAGGTTTTATTTAAGGTGATTTACAAGACAAATAATTGCAATGCAATGTCACCTTGATTGAGAAATATGCGGGTTACTAATCAAACAGTCACGTGTTTCCCAGAAGCATCTCGAACTTTACCTTATGATTTGAACTTCGTCATCTTGTCTTTGCCTCCCCGCGAATAATAAAATAACCCCCCCCCAAAAACAGCCTCACCACCTTTCGACGTCTCGACCTCACCACCCCTCGACCTCCCGACGTAAAATTTAATATGGCTTTCACTATGCGCCAACCTTTCAAGCTCAGCTCTACCTTTGTAGTAGCTTCCAAATCCGCCTTCAAGTCTTCTCGTGTCCGGTCATTCCACACCACAAAGCCAGCTACGAATTTCTTCACATCGAGAACAACGGCGCCTGCCAATACCCTCACTAAATCCCGAAATGCCTTTCGACAATCGAGGACATATCTGCAGCAACCAGCTGCTGTCCCTCAGGGTGCCAGCTTGCTCCAGAAGCTTGTGGTTGGAGGCGCTATGGTTGGAGGAACACTTGTGGCCATTAACCTAGTATGTTCCCTTGTCGTTGAGATTCATCTTCCTCCCATTTTCGATACCCTCAACATGGAATTGGATCAACTGATACTGATTTGAACTTTCACAGGTTTTCAACCGGGAAACACGGGAAGACGGTGGAATGCCCGCATACGAGAGAGCATATCTAAATGAAACCTTTATGCATACCGGTCTAGGTATTGGTATTATCGGTCTCTCTGCCAGAGCCATGTTTCAATCTGGAGCCATGTACAGAATGATGGCTACAAACCCCTGGATTGTCATGATTGGTGGTCTCGGACTTAGTATCGGCACTATGATGGGAACAAGATCAATCAGCCCTGACAAGTAAGTCTTGTTTTGCTAAATCTCGAAATTTCGGCTCACTAACGAACTAATAGCTATGTTCCAAAATACGCTCTCTGGACAGCTTTTAATGCTACTCAAGGCGCACTCCTCGCACCTATGCTCTTCATGGCGCCCCCAGCAATCATCGCCCGTGCTGGTCTATATACAATTGCCATGATGGGCTCAATTTCTTTTGTTGGAGCTACCGCTAAGCAAGAGAAATACCTCTACCTCGGTGGACCCCTTCTCGCAGGTGTGACGCTTGTCGCCGTCTCTGGATTTGCTCCTCTCGTCCTTCCCGTTACCGCGGTCCGAACTCTTGCTTTCACTGAGAATATCTGGCTATGGGGTGGTCTGGCTGTCTTTGGAGGCTTTACACTCTATGATGTGCAAAAGATACTCGCCCATGCCCGCATGGCGGAAAGGGGCTTGATTCAGAAAGATGCCGTTAACGAGAGCATTAGCTTGGAGCTGGACTTCCTGAACATCTTCATCCGAATGGTCCAGATCTTGTCGATGCAGAACCGGAAGTAGAATAGATGGTTGAGTTGTTAATAAGCTGTTGGTTTGACATGAAGAAAGATTGAAGCATTATCGATCACATCGACCACTGGGAGTAAAAGGGAAGGGGCGGTCTGGTTTCCGTTCATTTAAAGATAAGGATAATCTCCTCTCTTTTGTATACTTAGATTAAAAAAAGGAAATTTTCACATACAAAACAGTCAATAATACCATTCTAATACACGTTGAGAATACAGCTCCCAAGACACCAAATCATGTATGTTACCCGCCGTTTAGATGCAACCTGCAACCTGAAAAAACCGTAGGAATAATGTTAATGCTGAGTCACGCCCTGATCATTAAGTGTACCGTGCATGATTGATGAACCTAGGCCCTTTGCAGCAACGATTCATTACTACGTATACAAGTCAAAGTCGTCATCTTATCATCAGTCTTCCATTCCCATTTCAATTCCCCTGCCACTCTCCCTGAATCTATTCCAAAGGGGGGAAACTCCTTAAGAAATGACTAGGACACTCATATCCTCCCGGGTTTACATCCAAATACTTCTGATGGTAGTCCTCGGCATCCCACCACTCCCCAGCAGGCAGGATTTCCGTAACCACTTTCCCCTTCCACCATTTCTCATTGACAGCCTTCGTCACTTCCCGCGCTACCTTCTCCTGCTCCTCGCCATGATAGAAAATTCCACTACGGTACTGACTTCCGGCATCTGGTCCCTGCCGATTCGCTGTCGTAGGATCGTGCATCTTGTAAAAGTACTCTAGCAGTTCCCGGTAAGTGACCTTTGCAGGATCATAAGTCACCTGCAGAGCCTCCGCGTGTCCTGTACGGCCAGAGCAGACAGCCCGGTAGGAAGGCGAGTTTGTGTTTCCCCCGATATATCCCACCCGCGCGTCGTAGAGGCCTTTTGACTTGAATTCTTTGCGGTACATGTGCTCGACGCCCCAGAAGCAGCCGGCTGCGATGGTGGCTTTCTCGGCGCCTTCGGGGCTGGAGATTGAGGCGGATGCATCCGGGTTTAAGCGGAGGGAGGTTGATGTCGAGAAGGGGCGCATGAGCCGGGTAATGAAGTTGGGCATTATGGCGGCCATGAGGAGGATGGATATGGTGGCGAGGAGGGTGCGGGGTGAAAGAGGCAGGTTGGCTGTAGTTTGGTAGGTGGGAGAAGGTCTGGTTCTTGCACGGTAATTGAAGTACGTGTATGTATTGTAGAGATGATGATTGATCGTTATTATATTGTGAAGCGACGAAGGGAGATGTTTATATATTTTATCATACAAAGAGCTCACACTTTTAGCGCGTCAAGTCGTCATAGAAGGGAGGAATGGAATCAACCACCAGAACCACGATGACTAATTAACTACCACCCCACATTTTAATGCAATGATTACACATGCGTGCATCGAATTCCAAATGAAAAAGGTCCGTACTTGAGTATATCTTAATAATACCCAGAAGCATTTATGTTTAATCTTACTATGTCTTAGGCGGATTGGCTTATTATAGGCTGGAAAGCTGTTCTGTTTTGCTCGAAATATTAAAATAGTAAATTGTAAAGTTTGATTCCAAATTAAGTAATGCTTACTCTATATCTTATTTATATAATAGAAATAAAAAAAACTTTATAATTAAGAGTCCTAGTTGATTTGTTTTATTTTAGGTGCAAGCTTTATATACTAATTTTTATAGCTTAATCATTCTCTACTTAGATAAACTATATCAGATGTGTCTAACACTAAGTAAATATAATTTAAACAATCTATCACTTTTATATATCTATCTCTATTGCTACCAAGACTCGTGGGGATGTTCTACTTTCCGGCCGCCGTTTTGATTCACTTTATTATCGACTATCTAATATTCGCTAGAGATTATAATATCTTTTACTAATAGGATAGCATATGCTCTTAGCTTGGCAGAAGATATTAAGTCCTGCTATAACAGGTTGCATCTGATGTTAAGGCTTGGCATATGGTGCCTGCGCACGTGACTTCGTGTATATAACGTGATAGTAATCTTGCTTCTTCTAAAAGCTAGAAAACCTCTTTTAATAGTTCTAAGAAGAGAAGCTTTTCTTTTCTTTTTAGTTAATTCTTCTTATATTAAATTTAAGCTTTTACTTTATATATTTAGTATTTACTTTATAATATTAAAATTAACTTATTCTTTTTTTAAAATCCTTTATTAAATAAAAACCTTAAATAAATACTTTAATCTATATATAATAGACTTAGCTATTTATATAAAAAAGATTATACTTCTAGATTATATATAGCAGATCTAATAGATATAATTTTAGATTATATATAATAAGCTTAAAAAACTATTAGAAGTAAATAGTATTAAGAGATAAAAGCTATATATAATTA